AGCACGATGGGGGAGAATCCGGTGTGACAGGTACGACGAGGCGGGTAAGCCCTATACACGCTCTTGTAGCGTGGTGGGGACAGTCCTCGACCTCGACATCAACGCCAACGACTGCTACACCAAGGTATGATGTTCCAAATCCCATTCTCGGCATTTGCGGCGGACCAGAGAACCACCTATACGCGCTCTTGTAGCACAGTAGGAGGAAGCCCGGTGCGAAGCATACGGCGAGGTGGGTAAGCCATATACACACTCTTGTAGCATGGTGGGGAAGTCACAGGTGTTCTCATACGGGTACTGTTGAAGGCCCCATACACGCTCTTGTAGCGTGGTGGGATGAAAATTTATACGGCCGCGGTGTCTAAGGACACCTACTATACACGCTCGAGTAGCGTGGTGGGAAGGCCCAGCTCTCCTACATTTCCCCCAAACGGGGGATATGTCGGGGTGCTGCCGAAATTTTTACTGAAATGTACAAAGTCTGAACAATAAGAATATCTCATTTGGGCAACAATACAGAGGATTTGTACTTGAACTGAAAGCACAGAACTTGAACTAAATGAGCAGAGGACTTGTACGATGAACAGTGAACTTGTGGACCAGAACCTGAACTCAAATGATTAATAAAGATCAAATTCAAATGAAATGAAATCAAACTGCAATCAAAATTCAGATCAATATGAGTACGAAATTGAATTTGCGAGGACTTCAGAAGACACTGACGAGCACTTGAACATGTATTTTGAACTCGAAATGGATTGAATACAAGGGACCTGTGGACTTGAGCACTTGAACTTGTACACCTGAACTGGGACTTGAATTCAAAAGAAACAAGTACATAAAACTTTGAACTACACTTGAACTCAGTGCGGACTGCAAAAAAATGTAAAAATCCTAAATTCTCAAATGAACACAAGCATTTGATGCAAGCAAAAGACTAGTGGCAAAAGTCTTCAAATATAAATGACATGCAAATGAAGATATGATGGTTATCTTACAAGGAGACTACAACAACACTAGCAACAATGCCTGTTGATTGAAGAAGGCAATACTGTCACTTGATAGTGAAAGAGCTGTCCCTACAAACAAATACAATCATCAAACCACCCGAGATTGGTGAAAGGGCTCAAACTACCCGAGATTGGTGAAAGGATGGATATGATGTAGAAACAATGGGTCTTCTACAAACACTTCCAGTGAGTCGTAGTATATACAACGATCTTCTGCAAATGGATACTTGTGGATAACAACAGTGTATTGTAAGTACAATGAATCACTGTGGACACAAGTACGGATATCACCTACAACAGTGGTGATCAAGATCTTCAAGTATTTCGGGTACAAGGGCAACCCGATGTACGAAAAAGGACACCTCCTAGCATAATGGAAGAGATGTTTGAACAAACTAGAATAAAACTTCCTGGTGTTACAAAGTTTCTTTCTAGTCTCATCCTTAGGAAGAAAACAGTTCTGGTGTCTACAAATGTCGGAGGTAACAACTCTACTACACTAAAGACCCCGAGAAGGAGTTCTTTTCAAGGCATGGTCACGAACTTCAAAAGAGATCTCCCCGGTGATTGAGAGAAGGGGAGACAATAACAACATGAAAAGATGTCTCATAACATCAAGACCATATCACCACCGGATCCGCAACACTCATACTAGCGGACAGAAGGCGTGTATAAGCTCTCAAATGAAAAGTTGTGTGCATCCAAATGATAGTTATACGCACAACTACAAATATTTCAAAAAATCCCTGCACGTGCACTATAAATTGTATACACATAGGTACACTAAAGGGGTAAAAGCAATCATAGAACCCGCATGGGCCCCGACGAGCGTGTTATTGGTACACACGTGACGTCTAGGGATGCTGCGCGGGTCAATAAGTGAATTTAGGTTCGAACCTGATCCTTCTATACGGATCAATAGAAGTCGACTGGTTTCAAACCTTCAAATAAATACACGGCTGTGGCAACCGGTGTATTTGTCTTAATACATTCATATTAGGCTTTCAAGGCCTACAATCAAGAAAATTCACAAGCAAAGGCACAAAGCCTACGACAAACCCGATCCTCGGTAAACCGCTCGGCCGAGTTGACAGGTTCAATCAACAAATGGAAATGACCCCAAAATATCCCGATGATAGCCGTGTTGAATGTTTATCTCAACCGGAGGGGTTCACAAATATTTTTCAAATGCCGTTCCAAATATCCAAAAATCCAGAAAAATCTCAAAAATCTCAAAATCCCAAAAAATATTTAAAATTGAAATCAAACCATCAACGACTTAAAGCAAAATTCATCCACCCTCCGCAACAGTTTGCTGAGGTGTACAAATTAAAATTTACTTCAGCTCACAAAGAGCTAAATGCCTAGTCGAAAATATCACTAGGATCCATTCTCAAAACAATCTCCTACCAGTAAGGATGTGGTACATGTCCTCTAACCGGCGGTTTTGCCGCCAAATGGCACCGCAGGATAAACGGTTATGACCCGGGGCCCTCTGAACCGAGTGGTTTTACCACCAAATGGCACCACGAAATACCGGTTATTGCCAGAGCCAATACGCTCCTTAATGGCATCAATCCTTGAGATATGAATCAATAGGATATGATCGATAGGGCACAAAGCCCTCTGTTAGCTAAGGTGGATTCAAATTTGGCCCCTTAGACAAACATTAAACCCAGGTCTACAAGGTCCCCTTAGACGAAGCAACCCATGGCTGCCGACAAGGATCCTTCAATCAATCAGGTTGGGTCGACTACCTCCTCGGACTAAGTAGATCAGGGACCACGATAGCCCGGGATGACGGAACCATGGGATCTTGATCAGGTCGATCATCCATTCCCCACCATTCGCTCTAAGTGCAAGATGGTGCAATTTCTATTTTAAATATCAAATCTCCAAATCTTCCAATTCTCCAAATTCCCAAATTCTCCAACCAATACCAATACCCATTGTTGCTACTATGTGGCAAATAACACGTATTCTCTAGATATCTGATTGACGACTAGCCTTAATCGAAAGCTCTCTCTCAGCTCGAGCTTAGTAAACGAGCTTGAGCCGAGCTCGGGCTCAGTAACAGCTAAACAAGTTTCGCTCGATTAGGTAGATACTCGACTTGACTCATTTACACTTCTAACAACAATATCAAAATTTTAACCTACTATGGGGGTCGGCTACATGAATCTTTTTTCTCCAGTGTGTCCTTTTGGCTATTACGAGTCAACTTCTCATTTAAATCTAATAAAAAAATTATTTCTAATATTTTATAACCAGTCTTTAGTTCTACCTCCAACTTTCTTAACATAGATTGGAACTAATACATCTACTCTCTTAACTAGGTAATCATAAGGTCGACACTTTTGTGACCACACCATCTAAGGTGACTCTCTTTAATCTTATATGCCACTGGAGCTACTCCAACCTTCCACTGGAGCTACTCTAACCTTTTCACGTATATAATTGTTTTGCATTTTGTCTCAAGTATAAAGTCACTCATCCACATAAGCACTCTTTTAAAAAACGTGCACTCTTTTAATGACTTGATCACCTAATGTCACAATCTCGCAACCAGATCTATTACTACTAAAATTACACTTTATATATTCAATTTTAGATCTACTCAAATGAAAATCTTTAGACTTTATGGTTAACCTCAACAATTCAAGTTTTCCTTTAAATCCCTCTTTAGTTTTATCAAGAAAAAGAATATCATTAGAAAAAAGCATACATAAGGGTACATCCTCTTGCAAATGTCTAGTAAGAACATCCATGACTAGAGCAAAAAGATATGGGCATAAAGTTGATTCTTGATGTACCCCAATTGAAATTGGAAAATACTTGGACAAATCACTTTGTATTTGAACGCAAATAACAACTTTTGTATACATATCCTTAATGATTTGAATAGAAACAATATTAACTACTTTCTTTTCAAGAACTCTACAAAACACTTCTCTTGAAACTTTATCATATGCTTTATCTAATAAATATCATATATAGATCCTCCCTACTCTCTCTATCAAACCTCTCAACAAATGTATAGCTTCCATAGTAGAACTGCCTAACATGAATCCAACTTGATTTTAAGAAACATTATATAACTTCGTAACCTATACTCAATTACTCTCTCCCATAATGTATGACACAACTTAATTCCTCAATAATTCGCAAGCTCGTGTACATCACCTTTATTCTTAAAACTAGGAACCAACACACTTTTCTCCACTCATTTGGCATATTTTTAATCATCAAAAAATAATATTAAAAAGTTTAGTAAGCCAAGAAACTTCTTGATATATTAAGCATTTCAATAACTCTATTGGAATATCATCATGTCTCACTATTTTTTAACACTTCATTTTTTTTAAAACCTCTCTAACTTCGGTTTCACTAATAGGGCAATAAAAATATTTTTTTCTATTTTCATTTAGGGTGTTAAGATCACTAACGTCAATCGTATTCTCACAATCTTCATTGAAAAGCTTGTCAAAATATCTCATCCACCTATGTTGAATATCCTCTTCTAAGAAAAGCGATTTTTTATCTCCATCCTTAATGCACTTCACTTGAACTAGAACATTACTTCTCTTATCTCTTTGCATGGCTAACTTATACATACATCTTTCACATGCCTTAGTATCTAATCTATTATATAAATCACTAAAAGCTAAATCCGGCAACAACAGTGTTAAAGCGATACTATTCAATGTAACAAAAATTTCTGCAAGACTGAGGGCTCCTCAATAAGTTCCTTTTCAGAAAGAACCATGGAATGGCCACGAGAAAAACAAAAATATCCAATCTTCTACAAACCAGGACACTATACACAAACTAAATATGGAAAGCCATTGTAAGAACAATGTCTTTCAGCAAATAATTTAGAAAAATACAGGCACAAGAACACGATGATAAATGATTAATTATTCCAGCAAAAATTTCCAAATCAGTTAACTTAAATGTACCAGAAAGAAGAGTAAGCGAAGAACTGATAACCTGAGTAGTTTTACCGCAACCAGTCTCACCAGATATCAGTACCACCTGCTTTTAACAAGTAATTGAAGCACTCGTCAAATCAGCTGAAACGCATAGTATATGCTATCATAACAAATTGGCAGAGAAACTTTTGGTACAGTAAAACTCACAGGTACGAGGCTTAGAAAAAAGTACAAAAGATATTATTTAAATAAACAAAATGCATGAAAAAGCTACCATGCATGCTATTTCGTGTGAATATTTAAGTGATTATGGGTATGTTTGTCTGAGTTGATTGCACGGCACTTCAGATATAGCCCAAAAAGAGCAAAACTACCTCCCTCGCAATAATAATGTGCTAAAAATTAGGATAATATTAGTTCTCACATATGGGAAAAGGATCAAAATGATCTTTTGACTTTTTATGAAGAACCAAAATGATCTCATATTATATTAAAGGGTCATTTTGACCCCTCAAATTTTTAAAAAGGAATCAAAATAGTCTCATGATGGGACTATTTTGATTCCTCTTTAAAGAGTTGAAGGACCAAAATGATCTTTCAATATAATTGAGGACTATTTTGATCTTTTATAAAAAGTCAAGGTACTATTTAATCTTTTACTCTCTCACCTATCTTGGCTGATTATCTTTTCCTAGTTGTATATAAGGTGCTCGCTACCAAGAAAATTTCTGTATAAACTAAGTCAAGAGTCCAAGGGAGATTTATTGATTCAAGGTACTCAGTTCACCAAGCAGCTATAAATGCATGATCTCTGGAAGGGGCTGACCTACACAGCCTTCACCGAAGTTAACCTTACTCTTCCTAACGAACCCTTTCCTCTTTGTTAAATAATTACTCCCAAATTTCCCTTTATTATTATTTTTTTTTTTTATGGCATTGCATGCCCATTCAGAAAAATAAACACTTCTTATCTCATTATATTTCCATAATATAGTTTTTGTGCTATTTTTAAGTGAAGAATATTCTCACACACCTTTATTTTAATAACCCGGTTTAATTATACAAGTTATATCCTCCACGTTAAGAGTCAAGATACTCTCCTCTCCCATTAACGTATCCATTGAACCTACAATATTATTGAATGGCAATTATATATTACATAAATCCGGAAATTTTAAACCATCCATTGTGTCGCTGTCAAACTAATCTGAATCCCATCAAGTGTTAACTTTTTTCTCCATAAATAAAATAATCCAAATAAATGGCAAAAAACCATACAGTATGAGAACACACCAAGTCCTTCAAGTTTAATCCACATAACTATTAATCTATCTCAAAGCATTCTTAAACAGAGACACGGTAATATCATACTGCAATATAAATGATTGCAGACTTTCTCTTTGGTTGACGTATTGGTCATGCTTTGGCATTAGACCTCTTTGGAAATGAGTTCAAGCCCAACTCATGGGCACGACCAAGCTCAGCATTGCCCTTCACTTCAAAAGTGGAATCACCAATCAAAACAGTATATTCATATGGTAATAGGTTAGTTCTATGTTGCTTCTCATAAACTAATCATATTGAGTTTTCAACTTGTGAAGGAGAAGCTCAATAAAAATCCCTACCTAATACATGCACCCTCCTAACAGCTTCATGATGATTAATAAACACTGATAAGCAACGCATCTATTAATGTAAGAATAAAAGAGGCTTTTTCCATAAATAAAAAGAAAACATAGCACTGCAAAATATTATTATAGAAATTTGGAATATAGGTTCCCTTACAGGAAAATTAATGGACTAGATAGATATTATGATTCGTAAAAAGATAAATATTCTATGTATTCATGGAACTAAATGGATTGGATAGAAGGCTAAGAAGATTGATAGTTTAGGATTTAAACTATGGTATTCTGGTAGAAATCGTACTAGTAATGATGTGTGTGTGATTATAGATAAGAGTTTGAACGATAATGTTGTAAAAATTAATTGAAAAAGAGATAGAATTATAGTTTTAAAAATTGTTGTTGATGCTAAGATTATTAATATTATAAGTGTTTATACTCCTCAAGTAGGTTTGAAGATGTGTTCAAAATTAAAATTATGAAATGACTTAGAATAATTAATATAAAAGATACATCTTGAAGAAAGAGTTTTATTGGAGGAGATTTAAATGAATATGTTGGTAGAGAGGTAGATTTTAAAAGAATTTTTGATGGCTATGGGTTTGGAGCGACTAAAGAAGTGGTAAGACTATATTAGACTTTTCTTTAACTTATGATTTTGTAATTGTTAATATGTTATTTAGAAAAAGAGATGAGTATCCCATCACTTATAAGAATGGTTATAGTAAAACTAAGATTGATTATTTTCCTATAAGAAAATTAGATTATTTAAATTGCAAAGATTGTAAAGTAATTCCGAGTGAAAGTTTATGTACCCAACATCATTTATTTGTTTTGGATTTTATATGAAGGGACCGAAAATAAAAATATTGTTCTATGATTAGATGGGAGCATTTAAAGAATATTAACAAAAAAAAATTTGAGAGTAAGATTCTAGACTAATGATTTTATCTGTGCGTGAGGAAGTTAATGTTATGTGAGAAAAGTAGCTAATGATATTAAGAATGTTACAAGATATGCTTAAAGTATCAAAAGGAAAAGCTCCTAATAGTAAAAATAGTTGGTGGTGGAATCAAAATGTTCAAGAAAAGATAAAAATAAGAAGATTTATTATAAAAATTGGTTTAGATGTAAAAATTATGATAATTTGGAAAGATATAAAGAGGTCCATGAGAAGTCTAAGAAAGTAATTTGCAATGCAAAGATTTTAGCTTTTAATAATTTATATAATTACTTAGATACTAAGGTAAGTGAGATATATATGTATAAGTTAGTCAAATAAAGAGATAGTAGTAGTAACGATTTAGTTCAAGTGAAGTGTATTAAGAATGAAGATCAAAAAGTGTTTTTATTAGAAAATGATATTCAACAAAGGTCTATGAGATATTTTTTGCTAAACTTTTCAAAGAAGGTTATAAGAATGCAATCAAATTTAGTGATCTTAGCACCCTAAATGAAAATAAGATTTTTGTTTTTATCGGCGTATTAGTAAAACTGAAGTTACTGATGCTTTAAAGAAAATGAAGTCTGAAAATTTTGTTGGACCAAATGATATTACAATAAAGTTGTGAAAATGATTAGGAGATGAAGGAATTTCTTGGCTTACTAAACTTTTTAATATTATTTTAAAGACTAAAAATATGTCAGATGAGTGGAGAATGAGTGTGTTGATTTCTATTTTTAAGAATAAAGTGATAGGAAGTGCTTGTATTCACAAGCAACCTATCCAAAATCGGCGAACCAACAGCAGCCAAATGGCTGTCCACAGCAGGAAAACAGCAGATTTCTGCTGTTTACAGCAAGAAAACAGCACTTGTCCGGGAAAATACGAGAGAAAACTCAAGAAAAGACTTGTATTCCACTTAGACGATGAATAAAAGAGCAAGATACAACTGATCCTCAATTCGAGAGGAGGATCGATCTCTCCCAAATCTCTAGACGCCGCTAGAGCCCAAAGAAACCTAAATCTAAGAGATCTCAAATTTCAGCCAAATTCAAGATACTCAAACCCTAGCCAAATCAACTATTTAATGCATACAAATCAAAAGGAATTCCCTAAACAATCCCTACATTCAAATTTCCCTCTTAACTCCCCAAAATTTCTTTCCTATTTGGCTCCCGCACACCGTGCGGCTCGCTCGGCATCCCCGCGGGGGGGAAGTTTTCCCCCGCACACCGTGCGGCTCGCTCGGCATCCCCGCGGGCGGAAGTTTTCCGCCCTGTTCGCGTATGAGCCGGTCCCGCCTGGACCGGCTGGACCGGTCCAGTGGACCGGTCTAACATAAAGGTGATGTGCAAGATTGTGCGAATTATAGAATAATTAAGTTAATGTGTAATACATTAAAACTATGGGAAAGAGTTATGGAGCGGCGTGATACTAATGTTTCTAAAAATCAATTTGGATTCATGGCGGGGAGGTATACTATGGAAGCTATACATTTATTGAGAGGTTTGATGGTTAGTATAAAGAGAATGAGGAGGATCTACATATGATATTTATATATTTAGAGAAAGCATATGATAAAGTTCAAAGAAAAGTGCTATGAATAGTTTTAGAAAAGAAATGGGTTAATAATACTTCTATTCAAGTCAATAAAGATATATACGCAACTGTTAATTGTGTTAAACAACAAGATGATTTGACCAAGTATTTTCCTATTTCAGTTGGATTACATCAAGGATTAGTGTTAAATCCATATCTTTTTGCTTTAGTCATGGATGTTCTCACTAGATATTTGCAAGAGATTGTACCCTAATGTATGCTTTTTGTTGATGCTATTCTTCTTATTGATAAGACTGGAGAGGGAGTTGAAGGTAAACTTGAATTATGAAGGTCAACCTTAGAGTTTAAAAGCTTTCGTTTGAGTAGAACTAAAACTGAATATATGGAGTGTAATTTTAGTAATAATAGATCTAGTGAGGGGATTATGACTTTGGGAGATAAATTTATTAATGAGAGTACACATTCTAGACATCTTGGGTCTATTGTCTAGAGTGATGGTGAAATACATGGGGATATTATTAGTAAAATTCAAGTTGGACGGTTGAAGTTGAGGAATGCATCGGGCTTGTTGTGTGATAGAAAAGTCATCCTCAAACTTAAGAGAAAATTATATAAGATGGTGGTGAGACCTGCAATGTTTTATGATGCAAAATGTTGGCCATTAAAAGAAAAGGATAATATTAAGTCAAGTATTGCATAGATGAGGATGCTCAGTTGGATGAGTGGCTATACTCTTAGAGATAAGATACAAAATGAGCATATACGTGAGGTTAGAGTAGCTTCAGTGGAAGATAAGATTAGAGAGAGTCGCCTTAGATAGTTTGGTCACATAAAACGGCGGCCTTCCGATAACCCGGTTAGGAAAATAGATGTATTAGATTTGACTTATGTTAAGAAAGGTAGAGCTAGACCTAAAAAGACTTTGTTAAAAAAATATTAGAAATGATCTTTCTTTATTAAATTTAAAGGAGAATT